ATTTTTTTTTTCCTTGCTTTTTCTGTTATTGATTTCTACCTTTATGGTTTTATGGCCAGAAAAAGATGCTTTGTAATATTTCAATGCTTTGGATTCTGCTAAGGCTTGCTTTGTGGCCTAATATGTGGTATACTCTGGAGAATGTTCCCTGTGCGTTAGAAAAGAAAGTATACTTGGCTCCCATTGGGTGGAGTGTTTTGTAGATGCCTATGAGATCAAGTTGGTTGACTGTGGCATTTAGATCTTCCGTGTCTTCACTGAGCTTCTTTCTGGATGTTCTGTCCTTCACTAAAAGTGGTGTGATGAAGTCTCCTCCTATTACTGTGGAGCTGTCTATCTCTTTTCCAGTGCTCTTAGAGTTTGTTTCATGTATTTTGGACCCCTGTCGTTGGGTGCGTAAATATTCATTATAGTTATGTCCTCCTGGTGTATTGACCCTTTAATCATTATATAGTGTCCCTTCTTATCCTCTGTGGTGGATTTTACTTTAAAGATTATTTTGTCAGAGATTAATATTGCCACTCTTGCTCTTTTTTGAGTGTTGTTTGCTTGATATATTTTTTCCATCCTTTGAGTTTTAGTTTGTGTCTTTAAGTCTAAAGTGTGTCTTTTGTAGGCAGCATATAGATGGATCGTGTTTTTTTAATCCATTCTGCCACTCTTTGTCTCTTTATTGGTCCATTCAGTCCATTTACATTCAGCGTAATTATTGATAGGTATGAGTTTAGTGCTGTCATTTTGATCACTTTTTTGTGTGTGTTGTTGACAGTTTCTTTGTTCCACTTAATCTTCTGTGCTGAGTCATTCTTCTTTATGCATTTTCTTTTCTTCTTTTTCATTGCTGATTTTGTATTTGCTGAGTCTTCACGTTTTTCTTGTTTTCTTATTTTGATGTATAGGATTGCTAGTTTTCTTTGTGTTTATCTTAATATTTACCCCTATTTTTCTAAGTTTAAACTAGTCTTTTATTTCTTTATATTGCCTTGACTTTCTCTCCATATGAAAAATCTATGTCTACATTTTTTGTCCCTCTTTTTTGTTTTAATGTTGTCATGTTTTACATATTGACATCTCTGTTTCCCTATTTTCAGCATTTTAGTTTTATTTTTGTGACTTCCCTATCTGGATTGATATCTGGTTGCTCTGTCCTGTGTTCTAGTCTTGGGTTGGTATCTGATGTTACTAATTTTCTAACTGGAGGACTCCCTTCAGTATTTCTTGTAATTTTGGTTTGGTTTTTGCAAATTCTCTAAACTTCTGTTTATCTGGAAATGCCCTAATTTTGCCATAATATTTGAGAGACAATTTTGCTGGATATATAATTCTTGGCTGGCAATTTTTTCCTTCAAGGCTTTACATATGTCATCCCATTGCCTTCTTGCCTTCATGGTTTCTGCTGAGTAGTCCGAGCTTATTCTTATGGACTCTCCTTTGTAGATGACTTTTCGTTTATCCCTAGCTGCTCTTAACATTTTCTCTTTATCTTTGGCTTTGGCAAGTTTCATTATAATATGTCTTGGTGACTTTCTTTTGGGATCTACCTTTTGTGGGGTTTGATGAGCAACTTGGATAGATATCTTCTCATCTTTCATGAAATAAGGGAAGCTTTCTGCCAACAAATCTTCAACAATTCTCTCTGTTTATCTTCTGGTATCCCCCTCTGTTCTGGTACTCCAATCACTCATATGTTATTTCTCTTGATAGAGTCCCACAGAATTCTTAGGTTTCCTCATTTTTTAAAATCCTTTTATCCGATTTTTCCTCAAATAAGTTGGTGTCAAGTGCTTTATCTTCAATCTCACCAATTCTGACTTCCATTGCCTGAATTCTACTCCTATGACTTTCTATTGAGTTGTCTAATTCTGAAATTTTATTGTTAATCTTCTGGATTTCTGATTGCTGTCTCTCTATGGATACTTGCAGCCTGTTAAATTTGTCATTGTGCTCTTGTATAATCTTCTTAAGTTCCTCTATCGCTCCATCTGTGTGTTCCTTGGCTTGTTCTGCATTTTGCATGATCTCCTTCCTGATATCTTGAAGGGTTCTGTATATTAATCTTTTGAATTCTACCTCTGGAAATTCCAAGAAATTCTCTTCCTCCAGACGATTGCTTGACTCTTTGTTCTGGGAGCTTGCTGAAGCCATCATGGTCTGCCTCTTTTTGTGAGTTGATACTGACTGTTGTCTCGGAGCCATCAATAAGTTATTGTATTTATTTATGTTTGCTTACTGTGTCCTAGCTTCTTGTTTTGTTTTGATATGTCCAAATAGGCTGCTCGTGTGAGCTAGTTTGATTATTGGCACTTCTGAAGCGCTAACATCCTGTCACCAGGTCGTTGGAGCTGTTACTTAGTGTGTGAGCCCAGGAGTCTGTTTACTTTTCTTGTATGAATTCAGGTCAGGTGTCTAGGTAGTTGGTCACCGAGCGTATGGGTCTGGCTGTCACCTACAGTCCTAGATGGGCAGGGGTGATTGGAGTAGGCACAGGTATATGGCTGCAGTAGTGGGTCCCGTGCTGAGCAAGGCACGGGGCCAAGTATTATCTGAGTGTCTGGGAGGAAAGTGTGTCTCTGTTCCCTGAAGTGCATAGGTGGGTAGGTTTTGCAACCAGACTATGGGCACCCAATGCTGTTGGTTGTAAGGACTGGGAGGCACCACTTATTCTTGGACCCCTGTTGCAGGTGGCTAGGTAGCATAGGTGGAGCCACAAGTCCTCAGGCCCCTAATGTGGGTAGGTGAGGACCCTCCTTAATGAGCAGAGCAGTGTCAAATGTCACGAAGCTGCCACTCTACCATATAGCTGATATAGTTGAAGTTAGGCCTTAGGTATATACCCTGTTGTACTGTGCTAATGAGGGCCTATGCTGTTGAAATGGGCCCACACAGGTCTATGCAGGGGTGAAAGGCATTGAAAGTTCACGGACCCTTTATGCCTGTGCCTAGGCAAAGGAGCTGTGCCTGCCCTGAGTTCCCGGCTTAGGGGAGCTGGCAAATTATTTTTTCCTGTTTGTTAATTTGTTCCCTCTCCAAGGCTGGGAGAATGGTTCAGGGCACGTGAAGGGCCCTACTTCTGGCCCAGAGGACTTGGCAGTTGCTGAAGCCAGCCTGGGACCCAGTGCAGAGCGAGGAGGGAGCAGGTAAATGGCAGAGAGTTTCTTCCCAAATAAGGTATTTTTTCACCATGCAGTAGGTTAGATGCGTGTACTTATCTTTTGCCGATTGAGTGCCACTGTTCACTGGTTTTGGAGGCTTGAGTAGACTCTCAGCCGCTCAGTCTGCTGGTGTGGCAAATGTGTACCGAACGCCACTGCTTGCCTACCATGCACACCAGCTGATCTGGCCTGTAGGGAGCCAGTTCCTGCTGGGTCAGGTCTGGCAACCCCTCGCTGCTTCTGAACCATCTCTCCCTCCCCGGTCGCTCAGTCCAATTCCTCAACTTTGCCTTTGATGTTCAGGGCTCCTAGATTGTCATATATAGTTGATTCGCTTGTTTTTTCAGGTCTAAGAGGGACCACCAGAAGCGTCTGACTACTCCACCATCTTGGCCTTGCCTCCCCTATTCTTTTTCCTTGATCTAGGTGGTGACGATCAGAGGTACATGGATGTATGTGTATATGGGTGCATATATTAAATTTATCCAGCAGCACGCTTAAGATTTGTGCACTTTAAGTTAAAAAGGTGGTTGGAATCTCAAATAAACCCACAAAAATATACTCAACTTTTTTTTGTCTTAATACTACACAACCTAATTAATCTCTACCTAAAATGGTTTCTCTACACACACATCAAGAAAAATTACAGTTTTTGAGCACAAGGATACATTTTGTTGCCAACTGCACGCTCCATCAAGACTTCCATACAAAAGGCAGTACTGACTTGGGTTCTGCAAAAATAACAGCTGGTGATGGGAGTGGCAGAAACCACACATATCATCAGGTCATTCCTACCTACACTCAGCTTATTTTTCAGCATCCTGAATCTCACAGCTCCCTTAGTAGCTCTTCCCCCTCCCCCATGCCTGGTTTGGAGACCTGGTGGCACAATGGTTAGGAGCTCAGCTGCTAACCAAAAGGCTGGCAGTTCGAATCCACTAGCCGCTCCTTGGAGACCCTATGGGGCACTTCTACTCTGTCCTATACGGTCGCTATGAGTCAGAATCGAGTCTATAGCAACAGGTTTGGTTTTTGTGGTTTTTATTCCTGGTTCAGACTTTTCTGGAGCCACTATTCCAAAGAATAAATAAAACAGAATTTGGAAAATATGTATTAGATGTGTGATTTCAAATGGGCTTAAAATACATGGGGTAGCCTACCAATTGTTGGGCTTCCTGGTCTGAACGACAGAGAGAAGAAGGGAGAACCCAGACTTTGTGTAGTAAGCTGAGAAATGCCTTTGGAGATGCTGCAGCACTGTCCAATGGAACTTTTTGCAATGATGGAAATGTTCTCTATTTTTGCTGCCCAATATTGAAGCCACCAGTCATGTGTCTACTGAGAACTTTAAATGTGGTTAGAGTGACTGAGAAACCAATTTTTTAATTTTATTTCATTTTAATTAATTTAAATTAAATATGTGGTTAGTGGCCACTATACTGGACAGCAGTTCTAGAGAAAACTCAGAGAAAAACTAGGACAAAACCCTACCTCCAATATCTCCTTCCAAAAAAAAAATTAAAACCCACCCAATGTTCATGAGTAATATATAAAAAAAGTTCAATGTATTTATTCTCTATCTTAATTCTCCGGAGTAAAAATCTTATAGACAAAAATAAGATGAAGATAATTACTAGTTTCAAAATAATTTTTAAATACATAGATAAAGGAATGCTAACAAATCCACAAAGTTACTTATGACAACTACGTAGCACCCATGGAAGCTATTTTTGAAGTCAAGGAGAAAGTTTTAGCCAGATCAAAATATCTAATGAGTTTTAGTAATATGTTCTCAGCCAAACAAAGTAACTTAATATGATCATGTCAATGTAGTGAAAAGTTTATCACCTGGTCTGAGAGTGTAAGTGGAGAAGAATATCCAATCCTACAGCCATAGGTAAAGCAAGATATCTCTGCTGTCAATTCTAGCACATGGGCCAAAGGCAAGTAGCCAATATATGTATCCTTTGGTCTAAAACAAAAGAGAAACATATTTTAAAATTTATTTTATTTTTTGTTGTTGTTGAGAATATACACAGCAGAACATATACTAATTCAACAATTTCTACATGTACACTTCAGTGACATAGATTATATTCTTCAAGTTGTGCGACCATTCTCACCCTCCTTTTCTGAGTTGTCCCTCCCCAATTAATATAAACTCACTGCCCCCTAAGTTTCCAATCTAATTTTTTGTGTTGCTGTTGTCAATCTGATCCCATATAGACAGTTCTTAAGAGAGCACAGTGCTCAAGGCAGACATTAACAGAAACATTTTAATCATTCTTTAAAAGGCATTTTAAATTAAATACATCAATAACTTTTACATTTTAATGTACACTGAGTTTAGAGAATGACAAACATAAGCTCTGATTACAGACTTCTTAGAAAGCTGAAAAATTCTCTTACCCCAGTCCAGGTATTCTTTCGCATTGGCCTGTCATTCCAGCGATCAAATTGCTATGATGCATCATCACTCCCTTGGGTCGGCCAGTAGAACCACTAGTATACATTACAATAGCCATGTCTGAAGGAGTTGGTCTGTTTGGAGGGATGCTTGCTAAATGAATGAAAAAGCACATTTTCTTTAGTTTAAAAGTTAAATTACTAAAGAAAGACAATATATTTAGATTTTTGCATAATGATAAACTATTTAAAACAAATACTCTCTCTTGATAATCAAAACAAAAATGGTTATCAAATTCTGGTTAATGGCAATGAGGATTTCAAACTAAATTTGGCCCATTTTCTGGATGTTTAGCCTACTCTGTCTGCTCACGTCTCTCCACAGTATTATACATACAGCAGTCTGTGGAAAATCTCTCGGACTTTGGAGAATCAGGAGGATACTGTGTTGTGTGTAAGCTCCTCAGGCCTCAGTTTCCTCATCTCAGAAATGAGATGGTTGAACTAGATTGTGGTTCTTAACCAATGGTGGGCATCAGAATCACCTGCAGAGCTTAAATAAAATACCATTCCTGGACCCCGTTTCTGAAAATTCTGATTCAGTATGTCTGAGGATGGATAAAAGATTCCACAGATGACTCATGTACACCACTCCTGATTGAAAACCACTGGACTAGCTCTCTAAGATGGCTTCAACTTTCAAATTCTAAGATGCTAAGTTTTAAACAGCACACCAAAGCTTCCACTTTTGAGAGAGTGTATTACGCTAACCTAGCAAATGCCTCTCCTTCCCAGGATACACCAAAATGGCTAAAAATCCACAGATGTATTATCAGAATGAAATAAGACCTCAACAAGATTATTGAGTAAAAAAAAGTCAGTTTACAAATTACATTTATATATATAAAACAGTTAAAATAAATATTTTAAACAGCACTATTTACCAATGAAATAACCAAAGATGTCCACTGTCATAATTTATAAACCAGGCAAATAGGGATCGCATTCCTTCTCTGAGGACCAACCAAAGCAGTTACAGTAGGTATGTTAAGCTCTTCCCAGTCTAAACTTACAATATGACATTTGGCTTCTGCTCATTTTTGGATAAATACATAAAAAAGTGTCATGATAATAATTGTCTACTCAAGTAAAGTACCACACATATATGTATTTTCTCTACTGTAGAGATGAGTGGAACTAGGTGGACTACATGGTTTACCATGTTATTGCTCACACAAAATCATGAGGGCTGCTACCCTCTTAGTTTTCTGCCAACACCCTTTGGTCAGTCATCAGAATTAGCAACAGATCCCTGCCAAACAGGACCTCCCAGTCAAGTTTTCCCCAATCGTGTAGGGTCAATATGATATTAGGAGACAATTCTCCATGGGTCTCTTGCATTTCTGCACATTCTGCAAGCAGAGGCACTGACTGCCCTTTGTTCTGGACTATCTTTTCAAGGATGTTTGCACAGTAAACAGCTTTGGAAAAAAGAGAGTCTCCCTCCAGAGCAAAGGGTAGGCATGCTTACTGCCCATCGTAAGAGATTCAGATCCCCTCTCCTGTTACAGAACCCACTGTGTGCACAAGTGTCATCTGGCCCTCTTCACAAGGACCTGTAGAAACTGGGGTGCAGGGAGTCAACACAAATGCTGATGCTCTGGCTATTGCTATTGCTTTGAGTAAAAAATTGTCCTTTATCTCTGATCCAGGAGTCTTGTGTCTCACTGAAACTGTGGCAGGCTCACTTGTTAGCTTGGAAGCAGGGTAAAATCTCAGACTTTTTTTCCATTCTTGACACCCAGTTCAGAGCTATATCTATACCTGTTATTGTAAACAGATGTTCAGTCTCTAATGGTAAAATATTCAGAAGCCGAGCAGAGTTTCAACTACTATGTTCTCCTGCCAAGATGAATCCTTTCCTCATCTAGTAGAATATTGTGACCCTCACATTAACATGAGAAGGGAACTATTCAAATGGAGTATTATTTCCTCAACCCTCTGTCCTGATGATCATCAACTTTGCTGCAAGGTGCTTTTACTTGTATCAAATGAAATACCTTTTACCAAGTCAGTGGTAGAATAAATCCAAACATGAATCTTGGTAACCAGCTTTTCATCCTCTGAAACATCATTAAGATCATTAGCATTAAAAAAAAAAGTTGACTGAATAAAAGGCCTGAGATCTTTTCCCTACATGAGGCTCAAAATGGATGGATACAGTAGGTTATTTTAAAAGAGAAGTTTGGCAGCAACTACCATCAAGTCTGAACCACTAAGTACATCTCACCTACTTAGTAAAATTTAAACAGTGGTTACCTTATTGCAGAGAAAGAAGGGGAAAGAGGTCATCATACACAGTCTTAATAGTTTTATAAACATTTTAAACTTTTTTTTAATCAAAACACTTAGAGTGTTCACTTGGGCCACTTTCTATCCTACCAAAATAATAAACTTTGAATAAATTAATAAACTTGTTTTAACTGCTTTACTTACCGTTTTCTGGCTTAGATCCCAACTCTTCTACTGATCGCATGCTGTGAATCTCAAATCCTTCAGGGTATTCTGCTTTATTGACAGTCTTATTGTCCACATAAATGATATGTTTAACACAGTTGATATCTAACAATGCAGTCTGTTGGCAGAATGAAAAGCCAGCTATTAAATTTGGGCCTATAATAAAAACTAAATTATTCAACATTTTTCTTTCCTGCCAGATAACACTACCATGAATTAAGAGAAGTACATTTCATATTTACCTTAAGTTTGCTTTCTAGAAGTTCAACACTAGTAATCAGATAGGAAGCCTCAGATTCATTTAGCCCATGAACTACTGCATCTTTGCCAAGTGTGGCATATAAAGTCACAACTACATAAGAAAAAAGAAACACAAAAGTAAATGATATTTATTAGGATGACATATTATTTAATACAGCTTTTAATGATAGGTACACTCACACAGAAATTTTATAATTTAATTTTATTTCACTGTCTTTGCCATTTCCCTTCAAACTTGCCTCAAACTCTCTGTTAGCCCAAATTTTTCCTTAAAAATTCTCAGGATTCTAACTGTCTAAACCTGGAGAAACCAGAAATAGTGGAAATGTTAACTAGTCAGATGTCAGCCAATTAAGATTCTCAAGGTCAATAGGTTCTAGCTGAACTCTTGAGTCAAAGCTAGCAATTGTGGCACCTACTTTCATTGGTTATAGCCCCAAAGAATGGATAAGTCCTTGAAAATCCTCAAATTTTGAGGATTTCAAGAAGACAAGCTGTGAATCATGTTCTCACTCCTTCCAAGAAGCTTTTTTTTTAAAAAAAAATTGTGGTAAATATATATATATAGAAAACAAAACATTTGCCATTTCAATATTTTTAGATGTATGATTCAGTGACATTAATTGCATTCATCACATTGTTCAACCATCTCTACTATCCATTTCTAAATTTCTCCATCACCTTTAACAGAAGCTCAGTGTCCCTAAGCAACAAGTCCCTGTTTCCCCCTCCCTACACCCACCCCTTGTAGCCACTAATAAACTTGGGCCTCTATACTCTTGCCACTAGATATATTAATATAATATTGATCATATAATATTTGCCAAGAAGATTTTTAGTGGGTCCATTGTTCAATCTGATTGGGGACTTCCATGCCTGAACTAGAGAGGCCAAGGAGATCTCCTTAGAAGCCACCAAAGATAAAAACTAAAACCAAGACCACTTAGAACCAAAGGACATCTGCTAAACTTAGAACAGACTTGCAAACTCACTCTAGGATGGTAACCAGAAACAACAACATGGTTAAGAACAGTCACTTTTCATAAGCTGTTGATTGTTGAAGTTGAATGATGAGACTCACTTTCATATTGTCTATTTATGTTTGTTTGAAATTTTCTATAATTAAAAAACTCCAGCTACTCATCTGCAATGTAAACTCTTGATTCCTACACTAAACCTATACTGCACTATTTCATTCAACAAATAAGTGAGTGCTTAGTATGTGAGAGGCACTGTTCTGGAGTCTTAATTTTTTATAAATTATTTCTTGCATAATTATAAAATGAGTGCTTAGGAATCAGAAATATACCAAATTTTACTTTCTCTCTACCATATCTAAATGCCAGCTCAAGCAGTCACATGCTTATTTCACATGTAAAATGGAATTAAGCCAAATAAGAGGCCTCAAAGTGAAGCAATGAACTAGAATTATCCTAAGCAATATTTTTTTAATGTTTTAATCATTATTTTGTATATCACCTCCCAAGAAATACTCCCAAATCAAAATCTTTGAGGTATAACTCATTTCCAATTGAAAACAAAATTCTAAATTATATCCATTAAACTGCCAATTCCCATACTAGTATTAAGGAGCCCTGGTGGTGCCGTGGTTAAGTGCTCGGCTGCTAACCAAAAAGTCAGCGGTTCGAACTCACCAGCTGCTCCACAGGAAAAAGATGTGGCAGTCTGCTTCTGTATTAGAAGTTACCATCTTGACCAGGAGTTATTGGATATCTTTTAACCACAACATTACATACTGTTTTACAGACATAATTTATGCAGAAAAATGGCTAATGCCTACTTTGAAAGCAAGAGCAACTCAGGACAATTTTTGTATGTATGAGCCCCTCCCCCACTCCCAAAACACAAAGGACTTACGAGGAAAGCTGTACTTAAAGCAGGTCTGTGCTGCGATCATCCATTCAGCCCTGGTCTCACAGAAAATGGCAATAGTGTTCTTTGGTTTTAGTCCCAATGCAGTGAGTCCACTACCAAAGTTATTCACTCTGCAGTTCACTTCGAGATAGCTCATCCATTTATAATTCCCAAGAATTAACTGTTAAAGTGAGATATCCTCTAATATTAGTACATTTATTCAAACAAACAATTAAAATACCATTCAAAGTACAGAACTCTAAAAATGTCCTTAAGTGAACATACAGAAGCTATAAGCATCTTCTGAGAATTAATTACATAGCACTGTAATAGAATGCCAGCATATTTAAAATGTACTCAATTTATGATAAAGCAAAATGCACCACCCTTCTCTTGAAAAACACACACACACACACACACACACACACACGAAAGGAAAAAAAAAGGCTTTACCTTCTTAAAAACCTTTCCATTTGGCTGCATTTCATTTTCTTCATTTAGGATTTCCCTGGTCCCAAGGCTGTCCTTCTTCCCAAACTTGGATACAGCATAATCAAATAATTTATCCAAGGTGTCTGCTCCAGGGATGTCTATGACAGCTAGCGAGTCGAAGTGCGTGACAGAACGATATGGACTTCCAGGTTTGTCTGAAGTGGGCTTAGCTTTTATTCTCTTTGCCATGGCGTTTTTCTTCTTGGCATTGGTAAGAAAATACCATGGAATAAATATAAGGGCACTGTACACTGTTATTAACAAGTAGATAGGCAGCAAAATAATGGTGAGCACATTTAGCTTAAGTTTCATAGTGGAAAGGCTTCTAAAAATGGTGTTTATTTCTTGTTATTCTTTGGCTCCTGAAAGCCTTATTTCGCTGAAGAAGGCAATAATGGAAGCAGCAGTAGTAAGAGTAGCAGTATAGCCAAGGCAGGTCAATTTTAAGGATATATATAAATGTTAGTAATCTTTGGAAGCCGACAATAAAGTACACCTGTAGGTGAAGACAATGAACCAGGCAGAGGGCAGGGAAAAAAACAAAACAAAACAAGAGAGTGTTAACAAGCTGATAGCACCATTGATTTCAATATTCAGGTCCTTATTAGTTTATATAATTGATTTGGTACAGAAAGTTGAAATAACTGGTCTGAAAGACTGGCATTTTCCATTTTTAACTGTTATTGCCATAAAGGTGTTTTAGTGCACCAACTTCTAAATTTTTCTTTCTGGATTTTTAGGTGTACGGTACTCTGCACATCATTCTGTAAGTCAGCTGAGTAACACTACTTTAATGATTAGGTGAGTGAATGAATATGATATTTAAGTTTGGCCAAACACTGATCATTTCTCTTAAATATGTGTATGAAAACCAAACAGCTTTAAATTAGATTAGATTTTGTATCCAAATGGGAAGAAACCCCCACCAATTTATGTTTATTTCTCAAAGACCAACTAGAAATACTATTCTGCATTCTTCATTAAGGTAAATTTCTGATGTAATGTTGTTCACTGCCTCCTACCCTCAGAATTGGAACAATGCAATCACTAAAATCATTTCCTAAGTGTCCACTTTGTGCTCAAAATTGTACCAGTTGCCTGGGGAGTATAGTAGAAGTCTGAAGTAGTGCTAAGTCATGGCCCTTGCCCATTAGGAGTAAACACTTACAAAGTAACTAGCGCACAAGATAGAGCCACGGTTTTTCAAACTTTCATTTTGCAGATTAACTATTTCTTCATATAAAAAATCATGCAGATTGCCAATAAAAAAAACTAAAGTGGAGCTACTCTGGCTGAAACAGGGATTGGGTGCTGTCCAGAGTCCCATCCCAGACTTCCTTCAACCACATTCCCCAGGTGACCACTGAAGCATTTCCAGTGAAAATCACTGAGTACATAAGCTGTTGCCATCAAGTTGATTCTGACCCATAGCGACCCTATAGGACAGAGTAGAACTGCCCCCATAGGAGCAACTGGTTGATTTGAACTGATGACCTTTGGTTAGCAGCAGTAGCTCTTAACCACTATGCCACCAGGGCTCCATAACAGGAGTTCAGAGGAAGAGCAAACTGGTCAAGAGTAACTAGGAGAGGCTTTGATAGAAGATAAGACTTAAATTGGACCTTATGTTGTGCATCTGGAAATGAAGAAGGATGAACAGAAGACATTCCAGGAGACAGAGGAACCATGTGAAAAGAGATACAGAGGTAGGAATGAAAGAACTTTGGGAGAGTATGAAGTCTCAATAAAGAGGACACTAGCCTGACTGGGGCATAGGGTGCACGTTGGCTAAAGAGGCTACGGGAGTATAAGATCTGACAAATCAGGCAAAGTAATTTTGATCTGATTAGGCACAAAATTGGGGGGGTGGGTTCACTGAAGGTCAGAAAAACAGTGCCAACTGGAAAGGGAACTGCAGAAACAGCCTCAAGGATAATAATATCTCTAATGGAGTTTGCCTTCAGCTGAGAAAGCAGGGCTCTGGCACTCTTTTGGTGAGTGGCAGTGTATTTCAACCATAAAAATTAAAATATTAGTTCACACTGAAAAGAACTGAAACCCATCCTTCTACAGCTCTTGTGTAAATAGACTTACAGACTTAATTCAATTGATGCCACCTTACGCATCTAACCTCAGACTAGTTGTTTTTATAACATTTGCTACAAAATGGTAGTTTAAACATGCCTATGTCTTTGTTCATGTCCTTCAGCTGAGTATGGTGAAAGGAGCAAGAAACTAGAAGTTAAAAGACCTGACTTTTAGTGCCCATCTCTGTCACTAATTGGTTGTATGACCTTGAGCAAACCACCTGCCTGAGCCTGGGATTAGATCAGTGGCCCTTAACTGTTTAGAGATGATAGAGATGATAGACCCCTTTCAGAATCCAATGAGAACTAAGAACCCAATTCCCTTCAAAAATATGCAAAATTGTATATATAATTTCAGGGGATTCATGAGTACCCTGAAGTCCATCCACAAACCCCAAAGGGTGACATCAACCCTGAGTTAAGAATTTCTGGCCCAAATGATTTCCTAGGGCTCTTCCAACTCAAAGTTCTATGATTTACCATACTAGTCTCACTGACAAGTCTGGTCATTAGTTTCTTCAAGATAAGGTATGTCAAGTGCCAATAACAGTGCCCGGGCCTCAATATACAAGATTCCCTGTAACAAACCTTTCCTCAGTGGGACATTTCCTAACTATTTGAAGTCCACAAGAATCTTTCCTTTTTCTAATTTCCTACATCACTTGAAATATCTATCACTCATTCTGATACTTGATTATTATTACCATCATTTCCAAACATCTGAACACCAACTTATAGGTGTTACTTATAGAGTATAGACCAATAGTTCTCAACCCTATTAAACTCAATAACTCTTTATTTCTTTTTTTTAATTGTGCTTTAAGTGAAAGTTTACAGCTCAAGTTAGTTTCTCACGCAAAAATTTATACACACATTGTTATGTGACCCTAGTTGTTCTCCCTATAATGTGACAGCACGCTCCTCCTTGCCACCCCGGATTTCCCGCGTCCATTCAACCAGCTCCTGTCCCTTTCTGCCTTCTCATCTCACCTCCGGAAAGGAGCTGCCCACTTAGTCTCATGTATCTACTTGAACTAAGAAGCACACTCTTCTTGAGTATTATTTTATGTCCCACAGTCCAGTCCAATCTTTGTCTGAAGAGTTGACCTCTGGAATTATTTTAGTTCTGGGTTGACAGAGAGTCTGGGGGCCATGCTTTCTGGGGTTCATCCAGCCTCAGTCAGACCATTAAGTCTGGTCTTTTTACTAGAATTTGAGTTCTGCATCCCACTTTTCTCCTGCTCCATCAGGGACTCTCTGTTGTGTTCCCTGTCAGGATCATCATTGGTGGTAGCCAGGCACCATCTAGTTCTTCCGGTCTCAGACTGATGGAGTCTCTGGTTTATGTGGCCCTTTCTGTCTCCGGGGCTAATATTTTCTTTTAGTCTTTGGTGTTCTTCATTCTCCTTTGCTCCAAGTGGGTTGGGACCAATTGATGCATCTTAGATGGCCGCTTGCCAGCTTTTAAGACGCTATACGCCACTCATGAAAGTGGGATGCAGAACATTTTCTTAATAAAATTTGTTATGCCAATTGACCTAGATGCCCCCCTGAACCCATGGTCCCCAGACTCCTGCCTTTACTACTCTGTCCCTCGAAGTGTTTGAAAACCCAATACCTCTTATAACAAATATTTTGTAATACCACATTATAAACCTTAAAGGAACGACATAGGTGACACCTTGCACACATACATTTTAAAAATAATAAAATGCCTTAATGGTAATATAAGCCCAAGCCCATTGCCATTGAGTCGATTCTGACTCATAGCAATCCTACAGGACAGGGTAGAACTGCCCCCATAGGGTTTCCATGGAGCAGCTGGTGGATTTGAACTGCCAACCTTTTGGTTAGCAGCTGAGCTCTTAACCACTGTGCCACCAGGGCTCCAATGGTAATATAAAGGAGTACCAAAAGGTAATTAATTAGAAAGAAAATACTTACTTCAATATATAAATTCTCAGGGATATTATTATTAGACAAAAAAAATGTCTTCCAATTCATAAATGCTGCTAAGGGGTAAGTACCACCCCACCCTTAATACAGAAACTGTCAGACTTAGGGCTGAGGATACATAAAGAAGTAGAAGACAGCTTTAGAAGGGATAATAACCTAATTGGATTTAAACTGTATTGTGTTTTTTTAGTTACTCATGTCGTTATATACATTTAATCTTTTATACATATTTCCCATTTCACTAGGGAAATTCCTTCTACTTAATCCTCATAGTGCCCAGTACAAACACGCACACACACACAGCAAGAAATGGGTTGTTGTTTTGTTTCAAGTCTGACTTGATTTCTATCCTTTCCAATTAGCATTACCAACCTGTTTATCTTTTGTAGCTAAGGAGTGGACGCTGCAGAGGAAGGATACTATCAGAAATGTAAAACTTCTAGAATCAAGTACGCAGTTGGGATAAATGTCAAAGACAGGATAAATCCCTATAGTCTGAGAAGGGTAGGGGTGAGGGAGTGGACATGGTAAAGAAGCACCGTGGAGAAGTCGGGAAAGGCACTAGCAGCAGGCAGACAGACAATTTCTGATGCACCACAGCAGGTGTAAAGAACACGCAGGTGAGAAGAGACTAAAGAGAACATTTAGTCCAGAGTGGAGATGGTGGTGGGGGCTGTATAAGAACTGGATGCACCTGTTCCAATTTACCTACAAATCTGACTTAAAGACACACTTACGAAAAGATCTTGTTCATAACCCAGGGACTGCCTGTACCTGCATGTGTTATTTGTTCAGCAAATTTGTTGCAGGAAATAAGAACGTACATGAAATTGCTCTGAAACTATAAAGTAAAAACGTATGCCAGTACAGTAGCCTGAAGGCAAGCAACCTTCGTTATCTTAAAACAAACGAACTTGTCCAAGCCAACATTCTAGGAAATAGTATACTCTTAAAATCACTGGTATTAAAATAAATTTGAACATGTTAGTTGCTCAATAGAAAATATGAAACTGGAAAAACTGCCTGCTGCACAGAGGGAAAATATGATGTTATAAAAGCATGAAGGTTACACAATTTGTGCTATGTGCTTTTTCACTGATGTCTTTTATACAAGTATGCTGCCCTTCCATGTATGAAGAGTGATACTTCTGTCCCACCATTAGTAGGACATAAACTCCTTGAGATCAGTTTGTATGTCAGTCAGAAAAAGGTGGGGTATCATCTTTAGTTATGGAAGTTATTTGCTCCCATTGAAGTTTACTATTCCATATGGGAATCACAGTATGTTACCATTGTGTGCCACTGAGTCAATTCCAACTCATAGTGACCCTACAGGACAGAGCAGAACTGCCCCATTGGGTTTCGTAGGCTGTGATCTTTACAGGAGCAGACTGCCACATCTTTCCCCCACAGAGTGGCTGGCGGGTTCGAACTGCCGACCTTTTGGTTAGCA